AACAAACTGCAAATTGTTCAATTTACCAATGACTATGAACGGATGAATTTCCAATTAATCATTACCTTCACATTGTTTTAACTTCTTGAAAAATTGTTCAGACTCATTATTTGATAAATGTAATCAGTGTGCGACTCAACTGTACACGAAAGAATGTGATATATATGATACTTTATGTCATCTGTGATATTCTATAAAATGCATTTTTCCATTCAATTTTCAAAATTCTTGCAGCTTAACACAGCCAATCAGTGAGAAGGTAATTCGCTACGATAGTTTAAAATCTATGGTGAAAGTGAATTTATTCTGTATTTCGTCGAAATTTATGTGAAAAATTTGTACGACTTCAGGATTTAAATTGTAATTTTGATCGCCGAGCGGTGGATTGCCTTTGGGCAAACGATGAAAGTGAAGCGGATAATCAGGATTGGCTGATTGGATCATCACCGATCAATAAACACAAATTCGTTTCGTTAACCGGAATCGAGCAAATGCCAGGTTATTTCCTAGTCAGGGATTTTAACACTTATGTCCCATTTTGATTACATTTAATTCAGTGGTTCTCATAGGGGGTGAAATCACTCATTTTAGGTCATTTGAAGGTGTGAAGGGGTAATTAAGGGAAATTAATGTTTCGTGCAGTTGTTATTTTATGATAGAACGCCATTGTGATGGTGTTTTTTAGCTTCTGTACACTCTTCAGTCTCTCATTTTCTGAGTATCATTAGCTCGTCCGGGCCTAACAGGGTTTTCATTCTTTTCCTTGCTGCTATAATCGCTCTCATAGCTTTTATCACCAAAAGTGTTCTATTCTGCTGATTTCTCATTCATTTCAATTAACAATTAAAGTCAAATTCTCATTCTATCAAATGCACTCTATAATTCATCATTCGACTGTAAAACGTTGTTGAATTGTTGTATTGTTATTCAGTTCGATTGTTGTATTGTTGATTTCGGCTGTCAACACTCGTCAACGTACCCAGTAAATAGTATATACTACAGAATGAGAAGTTTATTTGAACGATGAAGTTAAATGATATGAAGTGAATGAGAAAAACTCATCAATAGAACGGTATTCGCATGTGATAGCTAGCTATGAGAGTGAATATAACACGTCTGAAAAGAATGAGAATTCATATGAATCAATTTGAAATGAGTGTGTCATAGACAATAGCTTTTCATGCAATCATCATCGATCGCAGTAATAAGCAACACAACGGTCTAGGACAGTGGTTCTCATGGGAAATGAATTTAACTATTTTGGGCAATTTGAGGATGTCGGGGGGGGGGGGGGGGGGGGGGGGGGGGGAGGAGGATGGAGCACCCGAACATGAAAACAACTCGTTTAATTGAATTCATAAAATCAGTCTGTGAATAACTGAAGATTCCATCCGGAATTTTGCAACAGATATTATTCTTTAACTTTTCATCCGAAGTTCTTTTTCGATCGGTATTTTTAATCTGATCATCTGAATTTCGATTTTTTGTTTTGTTTTTGGAAAATCAAAAAAGTTATCCTGCAAAATTTAATGCTATGATGTATCACAGAATGAATTTCTGCTTTTCAGTTGGTGAATTCGCATTCGTCCGACTTGAGTCCGGTCATTCAGCAACATTATTGACCGAACCGATCAGATGTGTAACTGATGAAGCAATACTAACATTCAGGTCCGAGAAGATTAAATCGCTTTCATTCCAATTCATTACTTCTTTAAGCGATAAATCAGACGACTCAAACTGAATGAAGTGGCCTTCAATTTACTAATGGGCAAACAAGCCGATTAGTGAGGTCTTTCTAGAGAAGTCAGAGGTTTCCGAAAAATATTAATTCACACTTTGGCGGAATGTCCTTTTCATAGTCAACCTGAAATTGGTTGATACAAAACGAGCATCCATCCGTTGCTTTGCTACTCCCTATTCAAGCGTCCAACCATCATCATCAGCTTATTTTGAAGAGAATGTCTTCAGTTTTCTAGAAAATGAATGATCTATTGGTGAGTACAGTATTTCGTATTAAAGGTTCTGGCACACCGAATCAGCGCAGTTAAGTGTTTGTTTACTGGAAGAGAAAATGCCCGAAATAATAGACTGTCAACCGATAGTTCTACCACAGCCTGGACCAGCAGTGGTTGATATACCCGGTATGGGACATTCATTTCGAATCGCGTTCAAAGCTGAATCAAGTGAGCAGTCAAAAGGAATGATAATGATCGATGATATCTCTGTACAGGTGAATAAATTGATTAAGAGGGGTGAAAGTGCATTTGGTGTCACCATAAGTATATTTGATTAGAGCAGTTCTGGACAAATCCGAACTCAGGACATGTGTCCATCCCATCGACGATAAATAACGGTTAACCTGAAAGTAATTTCAGTAAGTAAAACTAAAGTAAGCTTTCCGGCCATCTTTTTTATTGCCCTCCTGAGCGATTTGCATTGAATGTTGAAGTATACCTCACTGTCAGCTTTTGAATGTCCGACAAATTTGTGAAAATATCGCATTTGAGGGGAATATCTGCCCGTCATCACTACGACAGCACGGTATTAAGACGTCTAGTTTCAAATCTGTCGAAGTGCCAGATCAAAATGTCTGTCAATTGCTGTCATGTCAATTCGTGAAAGGTTGTGTTTGCGAAATTTTGCACGTATGAATGACCACTGATTTTTTTTGGTGAATTTCTCTCGCCAGTATTCATTTGAGCAAAATTTCAAGCTGATACCTCATAATAAGGGAATTTAAAGTTGGTGTACGAAAAAATTTGGAAAGAACATTAGTGAACGAATGATTGCAATGAGACATGAACAATTGAAATTAGAAATCAAATGAACGCAGTATATTACTAGCTATAGTTAAAAACACTCAGCTGGAAGTGGCTAAAAGTTGAAATTTTTGTACTGTTATCGCATGGAAATGAAAAATCACTTGAAATATGAAACGTTCATTTGATATTGTAATTCTTAAGTAATCGTAAGCTGTTTTGAGGACAAATGTGTTTGTACAAAAGCGGCCGAGTTACACTGTCACAAAGTCAATTCCAACCGTCTGACGGTACAGTGTTCGCGAAATTGTTCACGAGAGGGCGAATCGCCGTTCTTGAATCACCAACGTTCACGTTGAATGCGCCAGCAAGAGTGCATTTCAGTTATCGAAAAGAGGTCGTTCGTTTTGCCTTATTGCAATTCATTTCGTGAACATTACGCAAGTGAATCATTGATATGACCGCATCGAATATGGCTTAGAAGAGACTTTTGAAACATGTCAGGTTCAAAGTAGTGCAATGAGAAGTTCATGAGGTCCCCAGATTTGCAAACTACAGCTCTTCAGCACTTTCAGAAACATCGACGGTAGTCTTCGGAGCCTTGCCGGTGGTAGTTTGAAAGATATAACTAGGATTGTCTGAAGTAATGCAAAAAAATTCTATTGATCTTTGATCAGATTTTGGGAGTGGTCATCAATTTGACGAGTACACTGTAAATGAATTTGAGATTTGCGGTTAAGAATGATAACTAAATTGAGAATTTCAGTTCGGTTCACCAGAATTGTTCATTTGTCAAGACAGCGCAACGAAGGAATTGGAGAATTGTTTCGAAATCGGTTCAAATTCGAACACGACCGAATGGACGAACGATTTCATGGAGATTCTACCGAGTGATACAAAATTCTACGTGTTCGCTAAGCTGACCGAAAATATGCGTAAAGCGCAATTAGCACTGAAAAATTTTACTGTAACTGATCTCGACGATAATCTCGTTTGTTCGTCATCGTAACAGTGATGGTGAAGAAGGCGGTTTGGAGGCAAGGTTGTTGTGAACTGGCGAGGCAAATGGGCCGCCAAAATAACTTAAACCAAAATTCTTTGGCGAAAATAACGAGTGCACTTTTAATGTCAGTGTTGAACTACTCACTTCATGTGTTACTATTATTATTACATCAGTTGTATGATATACTAACTCATCAGATAAGGTCGAGCGTGTAGCAAGCCATAATGAAGCTACTTATTAAACCGAATCTCAGAGTTGAGTGAATCATTTTGAGAGGGAAAGTTTTTAAGTTGTGAGGTGGTTTCTGTTACTTTGCGATCAGTTTTTCCTATCACCAATTGGAGGTTTTGCTAATATAAATATTAAGATATTTTTGAAATAGAACATTCGAAAGATCAAGCGAAATAATGAGTTATGAAGGTAAACAGAATTTGAATGGATATGAAATTCGTTAGCCGCAGTAAGAAATTCGTATAAATTTCTGATCACCAACAGTTAAAAATTCAGTGTTAAGGCACATTGAGGTGCTTAGAGTATATAATTTCCCTTCACGCTGTCGGATTTCCACTTGAACTTACGAATAGTGGTTCATTCGAATGTATTTGTTATGTAGGAGATATTCAAGACGTTTGAATGCAAAATCATTCTTCAATTACCTGTATTATAGAAATGTGAATAGATATATTTTTGTGAATAACGCGTGTTGTATAATTTATATGAGTGCTTGTTTCAATTCAGGAATTTTTTGTTGTTGAATTCAATAAAAACTTCATGAATCTGCCGTTGTTTTTCGCATTCTACTTTTGGTTGCGTATTATTATAAGTATCATTACAATCCAATGAACGTTTCAATGATGTCACTTCAAGATGTCGCACTCTTATAATATTCCTAATTTCAACTAGATTTAAAATCAGCTTAGGTTTCTCGAAAATTTGGAAATGTCGCTCCCGAATTAGGCCCTTCGCCGCGATCGAGCATTCGTATTTGATACAGTTCGTGTAAAAGAAGCCAAAAAGCAGATTTATTCGCACACGTTCCACAGTTGTCGACCGAAATACGTCAAATTTCTGCGTCGCATACTATAAATTAAATGACATTATATGAGTTCTTTTCCTTGAGGATGTTCCGGACGAATTTTGATTTGTTCTTGACGTTTGGTGTGGTAATAGTAGAGTATTTTCAGGGGACAATGACAGCCTGTTAGACCAACGAAGGGTAATGGAGTTTCCAAGCGTGAAACCCAAGGAAAGTTATTTTCAGCTATAAGTTTTCATATGTATGAACTGATCTAGCTTCGTCAACTGGATCAGCGCATTTGATCAATCGGTTCTAGGAGATATCAGTCTCTCGAATTATCTCAACTGCTTTCTTAACAATACTGTTGAACATGGAAATTGCCTATGTTACATTCAGATGACCGTTACGTTCATATCTTATTAGCAACATGATGGTATATGACATCGCTAGGCATTCTCTTAGATCGTTGTGTTCCTCATTATTGCAATCGATTATGATTGCATGGAAAGCTATTGTCTAACTGATAACTGATACACACTCACTTCAAACTGATTTAGATGAATTCTCATTCTT